GAGCAGCGTGAGGGCCGCCAGCATCGGCCTGCGTCTGTTCCACAGCTGGCACTCGGTGTGAGCGTTGGCGTTTGAACCAGGTGATGTGTAGCCGAACTGACAAAACATGGACCGCACCAGATTATATCGCGAAGTTCCTGTGTAGGTCCTAAAGCCTCTGTCCCGGGGTAATCAAGAATCGGTCCAGACTTCCCACAGCATCGCGCGGAGGTAGCTTAGAATGATGAAGCTGCAGCACGGCAGAGGCGCAGTTCGTCCTAACTCTAACTGGCGATCTTAATTTTTAGCATAATGTCCATGATTTTTGCACTCAAACGCAGCATGCCCCTGCCCATTGAAAGTGCCGACATATCGCGTGGTTGGGAGGCATAGACTGGTAGTGCACTGTGCAGCTGTTTAGAGTTTGACCTCTAAGCTAAGCGAAGAGCTCGGTTGATTGGACTGAGTGGATGCGGCGGGGTGTGCAGCTGGCACGTCGTTTGCATTATTCTCCGACTGCCGCCGTCTCCGAGTGGTCGGCGCTGACCGACCAGTCTGACGACCATCTTCAGCTCGTCTCACCACTTGCGCCCATCAGCAAGCGCGCGTCATGGTGGATGACGTCACAGCTCGTGACGCGTGCCGACGTAACGAGCGGCATCCGACGACCACCGTGACGCCGCCGCGGCGGCTGATTCAATTTCCGGCGCCGGCAGAGTCGCAGCTCTGGCGCAAAAGCGGCGTGTTTAAGGAGTCTTTAGCCGGTGGGTGTGGGTGGTCCGACTGCTGAGAAGTCCTCCACTTTAGCAAGCCTGCAGACTGATGCGGGCCGCCATGGGCAGCCTCGCTGTTGGACCCGCTGTCGACCGCCAAGCTGACAGTTTGTGTGTCAGCTCCTGCTGACATGTGGTCCCTACGATGAAGGTGCGCCCCACACATCCTGTGTTTGTATGTGTAGGCCGGTTTGCTGACCCGGTGGTTGTGTATGTATGTGTGTATGTATATTTGTGTGCAGAAGTGTATGTAAGAGCATCTATCTGCGCGGTAGGTAATTGCGCTTTGAACAGAGCAGTGGCTTGTGAGGGGTCAATGTGCGGTCAAATGCCGCCTATGACGGCGCTGTTGGTAGACTCGATCAATTAAATCGATGGAATCAGTGGAAGGAGTTGGTTCTAACTTTTCCTTATATAGTATTAGTTGGATTATGATTGTATGTTTTTAGACATGTCTGATTAAATGTAATTGTGTAAGAAATCGAAAGCGCTGTGTTACTTTTAGAAAGAAAGAGCGAGAGATGAGGTCACAAGTCAAGGAAATCAGTGGCTAAATTCAAGGGAACTTACGTTTGGGCTCTTGATGGTGTGTTGATTAGCACCTAATTTAAGGGTAGGTAGGTATTTTTTTGCAGCCTCGTATTTTTTATCGCATTAAACACATAATGGCCACATAAAACCTCATGAAAACGTTGATAAACGGCTCCCGTAAATATCTTTTTAACGACTTCTACGATTTACTATTCAATGTTTTTAGTGTACCAGAATATGTCTTCTGAGGCCGCAATCAGAGTGTTTTTTAATTGTAGCTAGTAGCTACGTTTACATACATCACCCGTTTGCCTAGCTTTATATATGATGAAGCTGAGCTGAGTGGCTACTGGCTACCGATTTGTTTGGAAACAAAGGGAATTAACCCTCGCCATACCTATTGGTTTTCTACAATACGCGCCGGCCGAGGGGTGCCCCCCCCTCACCGTTTCGCCCCTGGTGGAGCTAGCGAGTCGCGAAAAAAAACGAGCGTGTGCGCCGTTACGAGACGCAGAGATTGATAACCATTTTAAAGGTACTAGGTCAACCGGTGACCTCTGAGGCCAGGTCAAGTGCCCCCGGGTACGGTTCCGTTTTTGGTGAATAATTTCGCAAAAAATACACGGCCGCAGAGCCGCGTTTTTGGCGGCATCGTGTTCACCTCGCTCAGGCGCGTCAAATGATATACTGTTTGTTTGGGTGAGGTCAACTTAGGGTGTTGACCTCAGGTCCAGGTCGGGTTAGCGCCCCAGGTCACAAAATTGGTCGAATGAGGTCATGCCGCATATCATTCAATTCGGCAGGTCTTCCTGAGTCCATTGGAGGATTTCCCGACTCGCTAGCTAAATTTGATCGGGGGTTATTGACGAAAAACTAATATGACCCTAATGACGTCCTAAATGACATCACGCAAGGTCAGCACTCAGGATTGCAAAAGTGACGCATCTAACCTTGCAAGGAGTGCATCAAATCACGATTCTGTGTACTTGAGATAGTTGGAGATCGTTGCTGGTGCCAGAATAGCAGTTTTCATTTTCCCCATTGACATACATTATGGTGAAGTCACGAAAATGACCTGACCTCATATGACCTTTAAGAAAAATCTGAGATATGCAAGTTGTGAGATTCGTAATGGATACTAGATCCTGCAAGTATCATTTCCCTGTGAAAGCTTCTCTGGCAGTGAGGGCGTTGCGAAGTTGCAACATCTGAAGACCGTGCAGAGGTTCACTTATGACGTCATAGGTCAGTGACCTGAAATGACCCGAAAATGCGGTTGGTGTCAAAAGATCCGGCTTGAATCAAAGATCAAGTATGCTAAGTTTCAGCTCTCTATCGCCAGCGTGCTCGGAGCTATCGCGAGAAAACCCTATGGGGGGGGGGGGGTGGCACCCGCCCCCCCCCTCGGCCAACGAGGGCTAAATCTTCTAAGAAAATCAAGCATTGATCTCATTTATGTCGACTGAAAGAACCTATTTACCTACGCCTTGTTAAAGCGTGTGGTATATATGTAATACCTAAGTTCTGCCCCCTCACACCACGGTGTTGTTTGAGCGGTGTTATGGTGCCCTCGGCGGGGGGGGGGGGGATGGAGAGTGGTTGTGTGGGCGGTGTTATGCTGTTCTGGGAGGGGGGGGGGGGGTGCGTGGGCGGCGGTGCGCTGCTCCATACAGAGGCGCGGCGCGCCACCCCGGAAGCTGCCGACCTCCGCCAAAGGCCATGTTATCGCCGTCGGTCGGGCCAGGCCGTCCTCTCTCAGACCGCCACAGCCGGCCGGAGGGCCAGCGCGGTCTGTTTACCAAACCGCGTCACTGATTATTTTTGCTGTGACCGTGTCCAAATAAGGCGGAATGGTGGCTGGACCGCGACATGGCTCCATGCTGTAAGCCTGGATAACGAGGATGCTGCCTATTTTTTTATAGAGACGATACCCGATTCTCTCAACAAAAGCTGCATGCCTCCAACGGCAGGTCTAACATCCTCTCGGCTCACTCTCACTCATTCACTTACTCACTAAAACTCACTAACGCACTCACTCCGGTTATAATTCACTCACTCACTCGAACTCACTCCGCCATTGATAGTCCTACTCATGTATACCTACAGCTGAGACTAGCAAGTCATGGCAATATACAGATCGACATTTTTGACGGTATGGACTAGGAGCATTGAGTCAATAAAGGCATTTATCTAAATATTCATATACCTAGTAGTAAGCTGTATTCTAGCATTGCATCATATGCCTCATTGTTAACAGTCACTTTTGAGAATATACATTTACCCTGAACTGTGTACACTATAAAATATACATGACTGTCCAGAAAATTTCATCCAAATTCTTGTTTCGAGCCTCGAGGGCGCGAGTTATTTCATTGTTTTGCGTGAAACCCGTCTGTTCCTTTCTTGCGTGCTGAATGTCACTGCCCTTGCGTGTCGTTCGGCTTCGATGAACGATGTTTAGTGTTTCCTCATGCTTCAGAGGGCTAGTTTGGCAGACAAGCGCAGCCGGATATGCGTGTGCACTGTGCATAGTACTTACATTGTGCACTGTGCATTGTGCCTAACTGCCAATTAGTTCTTGGCCATTAAACTCTTCCGGTGACGGTGGTGCACACTGCGCAGCTCCACTCTTCGTTATCGTAATTTGGGCATAAACGGTGGCACGTAAAAAAACTGTTAAAGTGTTTATGTGTTTCTTGCATTTTCTATTCTATAGGTTAAAAGTTTTCATTTTTAAATCGATAGGTTCCAATTACATAAAAGCTGGACATACCTAGGTCGATGCTAAGTCTGCAGACGTTATTCCCTTCCGTCAATCGTCTAAAACATGCGTTCTTTTTTATCAGCTTTAACTCGTTTTTGTTTCATTCTAAACATTTCAGGTCCATGGGATACGACGAAAGAGGAAAAAGTGTGCGATGGGCTAATCCAACGAATAGTGCGCCCCGTTGCTGAACATATGCGAGTCATGCCGCGTGTTCCGGTGGGGCAGGCAACCCAGCCACTCAAGTCTCAAATGGGTTGCCCACGGCATGCTCCTCTCGAATCCGGCCCTTTTTCAGTTTGGGGTGGTATGGCTGGTAGTGGGTGTGACCGTCAGTCTCCAGAGGGTAGCGTCAAGCGTGATCAAAATACGGGTGGATCGGACCTGATGATAGCGAGGATGGATGTCATCTTTGTGAAGAAGTCGGAACTTTTTGCGAGGGTGGGTGGTCGTCTGTCATCTGCGATAGCTGTTATGATCGTTTAGACGCCAGGTGCATGATTTTCCACTTCCATGTTTTCCAGTTGTCCTATTTCCATTTGTTGCTTTTATCGAGCTGCTTGTCTACTCATTCTCTTAGCCCACTATGTAATAACCGGCGAAGGCAAGCCAACTCTGTGCCAACTCAGAAATCACATACATTCACCGGTAGGTATCCGCAACAAACAACAGCCCTCGAGCAGCCCCTAATCCCGATCAGGTAGGGTACGAGTTAGTAAAGAACAAGAAGGTTACTTATGTACTTACATCGGCCAGAGTGACCCCGTAGCGTCGCGCCGGCACCGTCAGGGGCGGGGAGGGCCGAGGGGGAGGGGAGGGACGGAATCGTCGGCGCCCATAGCTGTCCACGGCGTGGGGATGGCGGAGGAGGGGGAGGTGTATAGCAGTGCGCCTGCGCCTCGGGGGCCGCGTGGTCGGCGTCGGGGTGTACGGACTACGGAGCCGGCCATCTGGGGGCCAGGCGACGGGCGGACTTCGGCCAGTGCTCGGTTAGAGGCTCTACACCCGGGCGTCTGCTGTGCGCAGCGCTGAGCCGGGGACACCCGTCAGTCGAGCACGAGCCCGAGTCCCAGTGACACAGGTCAAGGTCGAACACAGCACACTGCAGGTGAGGAACCCGGCTGATTCTGATTCACATAGAGCCGACCAGAGCCGACAATCAGGCAAGTGAGAACGGCACGGAGGCTAGCAAACTCGCGCCCCGAAACCAAACGTTCTCGTCGGCACTAGCGTTGCTCTAACACGCCTTTGCCAGTTTGAGCCGGCGCAATGTTATCTTTTACGGGCTTGTCAGTTGGTGTCGACATTCAGGCGTTTGTTTTCAATCGGGACAGTTATGTTTCGACATTTGCATGCCAAAGGCCCGACCTTGGCACTCCAGTCTCCAATTCAGAGTTTCGGTTTCGGTTGCCGTACGAACAAGGTGCTTTTGACGTTTTGTGTGTTCTGCGAATCTGTCGGTTTGTGTTGTGTCTGACTGACGTCATATCGTGTCGTCAATTTATCTGACGTCATACTGTAACTGTATCCTGTCGGCAGTACTTGTATGCCTGACGTCATCACATGTGCGTCACAATACTTGTTGTCATGTCCTGTCGTTGCATCATCTATCTCATTCTCAGCAATATGCAAATTTATCAATGTTTGACGGCTCTGTCAGCGGTGCCTACCGACTAACTGACGTCATACCGTGTCGACAGTATGTCTGACGTTATACCGTGTATTTCGCCGCAATGTCTGACCTTATGCAGTGTAGGTACGCGTATACCACCGCAGTATGTCTGACGTTATACCGTATACAGATGTCATACCGTACACGGGTATACCACCGCAGTATGCCTGATGTTATACCGTATATGGGTACACCACCGCAGTATGTCTGACGTAATGCCGCACCGCATGTCTCGCCCTCAGTATGTCTGATGACGAGGGCGACACGTCCTCTCCGGAGCACCCTCGGCAGCTGGTGCCGGCCCTGCTGCAGCAGTTCTACACCCTCGGCTGGGTTACCGGCACCGGCGGCGGCATCTCGATCCGCCGCGGCGAGCACATCTACATCGCCCCTTCGGGCGTGCAGAAGGAGCGAGTACAGCCCGATCAGCTGTTCGTGCAGACCGTGGACGGACGCGATGTGTTCGTGCCGGAGGGCCAGCTGAAGCGCAGCGCGTGCACGCCGCTCTTCATGCTGGCGTACCGTCTGCGCGGCGCCGGCGCGGTCATCCACACCCACTCACAGGCGGCGGTGCTGGCCACCCTGCTGTGGTCTGGCCCGGAGTTCCGCGCCACGCACCTCGAGATGATCAAGGGCGTGTGGAACGACCAGCTGGACCGCTGTCTGCGCTACGACGAGCAGCTTGTGGTGCCGATCATCGAGAACACGCCGCGAGAGGAGGAGCTGGAGGACTCCCTGGAGGAGGCCATCAGACGCTACCCCGGCTCGCCGGCGGTGCTCGTGCGGCGGCACGGCGTCTACGTCTGGGGAAGCACCTGGCAGCGGGCCAAGACCGTCTGCGAGTGTCTCGACTACCTGTTTCAGGTGGCAGTGGAGATGCGCCGGTTGGGTTTGGATCCGACCCAGCCGCCGGCCACGGCCCAGTGACCCGCGGGGACCCCCGCACCGGTCACCGGTCAGCGGGACCAAACTGACAGACCAGTGCGCTGTGTTCACTGCGGCAGACGTATCCGCGAGGGATCCGCGTGCCCTCCTGCATCATGCTGGACAGAGTGGAACGCTCCGTGAGCTGTAACAACTGTAACAACAATGTAACAACTGTTGTGTACCTATCAGGATGTAGTGAAAACTCTGCCTCGACTGTTTCCACTCCTTCAGGCTTCAGCTCAAGTTCTCACGTTGACTGAAATGATTGATGACCGGTATCCGGAGTCCGAACCAAATTCTGAGCTCTACTACCTTCAGCATTTGCATTTGTCTAATTAAGTGCCTGATCTGGGCTGCCGGTAGCTCGGGCCATGATTGGAAGTTGGAACCGTAACCGTATCTACGGGCACCTTTTCAAGCTTGATCAATATATGTATTCATGAAGCAATGAACATTCATGTGGGAAGATATGCTCATAATGTGCTGGCGAGGTGTGGGACGTTGGTCGAGTACGTCTCCCGCCGAGGAGCGAAGTGCAGCCAGTTTTGGGCTTTGGCCAATGTGTGAGATGAAGGAAATGCCTATGAATTCCTTCACAATTATCCCTCTTGGGATGTTACTGATTCCAAACCTCTGTTGCTACCTTACGTTTTATATAGATACTTAACTGCAGCTTTTTTTTTACTTGCAGTTGGGCAGCCAATGAGAGAATTTTCAGCCAAATCGAAGGGGTCCGCGAATGTGCACGCGAATCTGAATGTGAATATGATGCAACTATATGCACGTAATGAGAGATAGGTAAGGTCTTGAAAAGAAGTGAGAAGCCTGGGTTTTTAATTTAGTACTGTGCAGTTCAAATAGCGCAAATGAGACGTTCATGACGCAAACAGCTGATCGACTAGTGTTCATTCGTAGCAGAAATCCTTGGGTTTGCGGCAAGCAGAAAGTCTAGGGCACTCAAATAAATTGATTTTCACCTTTTTGAAATGGTAAATGCTTTCACCAAGCCATACCTAAAGCTATCAATAGTATTCTAATCGCGTCAAGTGAAGTTCTAACTAGTTTTAACAAAGTTCTTCAGTTCCTGCATATCTGCAACTAGGCGTAGCTTCAGAATTTAGAACACGTTATTCCACATGCTGAAGCTATGCTGTGAATCTGTGTCTGAAGGATGGCGGGCAGGGCATCTTATTTTTGCTGTAAAAATTAAGTTGGCATTGGTTTCAGCATTTAAAAACCATGGCCTTCTTTGAAATAAAAGATCTCATGCTAGATTGTCAGCCTTGAGATCTTTGGTGTTGGTCTCAAAAAACATTTTCTTCAACGTGATTTGCCTGCTGCAATTTAAATTTCCATGGAGATTGTCTTGGATTGGAGCAGTACAGGATTTTTACCTCTGCCTGGTCTTATTCTGAGGATCTGTGGTAAGTTAATTAAGTACTAGTATAGGCATAAAGATTCCCTACTCTCAGATAGGCACATGTTCTATGGCTGTTTTACGTTTATAGGTATTCCGCATATTTGACTTTTATGCGACTTTTGCTGCCATAGCCATTGTCAACATGAGAAGGAGTCCATGATGATGACCCAAAGCATGGATACTCATCCATATTCATATCTTGGATGAGGATCAATCATGCAGTCATTCTTCAACAGTCACAGTCATTCCCGTTCCTCGAGAGTCTGAAGTGGTTTCAAGCTTAGGTTTGAGTGGTTTGATGTTCATAAATCATATGTGCTCTTGTTTGTGTTTAAGCCTTGATTGATGGTTCATTGTTCAGAGAACTCAAACCATTATTTTGATTTAGCTGTTACCTTCCTGATAAACCCTTTTCAGTTTTCAGAGCCCAGATTGAGATACACAAACGAATCATGGTGGCACTGCCACTCTGACAACCCAGACTGATTAGGTGCCTACCTACCTACTCTCTTTACGATCAGTTTATTTAAGTTGCATATACACTTTACTTTGTTACCTAACCTTTTTCACCTAAACCAAATGACATAGCTCTCAATATTGCTGTCTACAAAAACTGCTGAGGGACTCATCTGACTGTTCACTCACAAATGCTTATGCTGTTTCCTATACAGGTGCATTGTGATTTGGGATGACAACTACCTACCCAACCATAATTGCCACTTGCCAGCAATTGTCCTTGCAGACAGTCCTCATGAAAGCTGATTGTTCAGTGTTCACTTGCTTTGGAGAAGCAGTCACATTAGTTTTTACCAAATATGCTGTATGTGAACCTTACCAAGCACCCATAATCACACTAGGGTAGAACATTACTCCTAATCGATTTAGGTAGGCAAAGCTTTTGGATAGATGTGCTTTTGTATTTTATTGCTGGCTTGCTTTTGTGATAAGTTTTAAATGAGACACATTGCATCACCATTAAATATTCTGGGCTTGACAAAAACGACTGAAGGCAGGCCCAGTCCATGGGATTCAATAAATGCTCACACTTAAACAAACTTGAGTCTGGACGAAGCACAAGTCAACACGAGTTTTAGAGCTCTAATCCAGCGCGGATAGCTCGTCGGGATCGCTGTCGTAGCCCTCCGCCAGCCGGCGCACCGTTTTCACATCCTGCATTAACTTCTCATTATTGGGGTCGAGGCTGAGCGCCATCTCGTACTCGGCCAGAGCCTCAGAGCAGGCGCCCAGCCGCAGAAGCGCCGTACCACGCCTCACGTGACACCGTAGTCGCGACACCCGGTTCGCCTCAACGGCCGGCGTGAGCAGGTCTAGTGCTGACGACGAGTCCTCCAGAGTCTTGTGGAAGTTGTTGAGCCGCAGGTGGCAGGCGGCTCGGTTCGAGTACAGCTCGGGAGCGTTGGACGCCGCGTGGATGGCGTGGCTGTAGGCGTTGATGGCAGCCAGGTAGTTTCCGTGCTGGTAGAAGGCGTCACCGCGCTCTTTGAGCCAGCGTGGGTCCTTCTCGTGCGGCCGGAGGTCGGCCTCGTCCAGGGCGCCGTCGCGCCGATACTTGTCGGCCTGTTTCCGCAGCCACTCCTGCTCCTCCTCTGAGCGACTCTCGCGTGCCGCCGACGGGAACTGACGCGGCGTGAATGCGCAGCGGATGGTGCCGGCCGTGCGGACCGGCGCCGCCGCCGCCGGCGTGGCTGAGCGAGCGGCGTGCACGGCGGACACAGCCGCCGCACCTTTTGATGGTGTCGAACAGGCCGAGCTGCTGACAGTGACAGGCTCCTGTTCGCGCAGAGTCTGCTCCTCGGCCGGGCCCAGTTCTGTGTCCTGGCCGCAGCTCTCCTCTGACTCTGTGAGCTCGCTGACGCTGAACACGGTCACCTCGCTCGGCCGACGGCGGCGGCGCGGCGGAGAGGTCACGCGAAATACCTCGGCCAGTGCTCTGTTCTTCTCCTGCTGCTGCGCTGCCTCGCGGGATTTACGACCTGCCTCATCCACCCGCATCTGCTCTTTGACGCTAAGACGTTCACGGTTGAGACGTTCTTCACCACGTTTTTCAGCAGCCTCTGCTTCCAATCGTGCTACGAATTCTAACGCCTTCTCGCGTTCCACGGCCAGTTCTTCTTTTGTCAAGTTTTGACGAAGATCACTCCACCGCTTTTCTGTGAGCTTCACCAGCTCGATATTGATGCCCTCATCAGTCAGCTTAACGACCGTTGCATCATGTTCAACCGGTTGAGCGAGAACTGCTTCGAAAATATATGGTGGCTTTGATACTTTCAGATAGTTCGATGTACATATTATGCTCATCTTATCTTTTGAAGTCGTTGTAAAAGGAACATCGATTGTAACTTTCTTGTTACTCTGTTGCCAAGTGTAGTTATTTATAAATATCGCCATGTTGCTAGTTCACAGTACACAACATGAGAATATTTTCTTTTGCCAACAGCGTATAATCCCCTTACCGACTTCTCTTGATATCTCGGGAGTCAGGCCTGTCCCGTGCCGTTGTTTGGTGATGACTCCCAAAACACTGATTCTGGGTCACACGCGAAAACGAATCACCAATTTCAGCTCGCTATTTTTGCACAGTTTTCAATGGCATAATCCCTGAGCGTTTACACCGACGGCAACGGAACGCGATCGTGATCTATCGTGATTCACAATCACTGATATCTATGCGCGTTGTTAGCGTCCTCGTTGCTATGACAACCGACAGGGACTTTCGTTGCCTAGCAACGTTTTAAGGGCGGTGGGAGCTAATCGAAATACCTTGCATAGGGAGGTGACTCGGCATGATGAAAAGCTGAACGATAGATAGTCAATACTCATTAGTTTGCGTATAATAGCATGTCATGTATTTTGCAATAGATCATTTAGCATACCAGACCAGCTGATTTTTAATTCAGGATTAACGGACGAATAACATATTCTCCATCATTCTGTCGTCAATCCGCTTGTACCCTAAGCCGCGGCTAACGACCGTCTGTACCCATTTGTCATGTCTTTTCTGCTCGTCATTAGTTGGCTTGTATGCAACAGGTCACTGCTCTGCTCTCCGTTACCGCTGATATTGATTTCCTGACTCACACGTGCCGTGCGCGCTGCTCGGTGGCGCCGCGTTCCTGACCGACCCTCCGCCCTTTCAGCCGCCGGCGGGCTGCGGTGGCCGGCCGGTGTCCTGTGCTGACCTCCCGCGGTCGGGTACAGACACCGCTGGGCCATGCCGCGGCCGGCGCTGTGGCTAGATGGCGCTACCAGCCGGTGGCGGCGCTACAAGCGCTCCCTGTCGGCGTCTGCCACCGTCCAGGGAGAGGTGGTGCCCTCGGCGGGTCGGGAGCTGGCCTCTCTGATGGCTGACCACGGCCTGATGCGCGTCCTACAGGTCAGCAGCGCCTGCAGGGTGAAATGGAGCACGGGGAGCTCGGGGTATGGATTAGGTGGTAATGAGTTTGGACACATCGCGTTAGGGACACGGATACGACACAGAAGATGGGCACGTACACTTGAGTGTCCGTTTCCACCTTCATTTTGTATCCGTCAGACATCACATGTCCGTGAGAACACGGACTAAGAAAGCGTGGTCAGGCACGGACTCGGTGCGCGGTCACGGGACACGGGCACAGGCCACGGACACCGACACGGTGCGCGGTCATGGTACACGGGCCCGGGACACTCACGAACGGGCACGGAACGCGGATGCGCTAAGTGACACTCACTCAACAGCTGTCGGGCGACGGTGTTGAGCACACAACGATAGAGACATGTTGAAGTATTTTCAATAAACAAATAAGCAATAACAATTTTGTATTCCTTTAGAAAAAATACTCATTATTATCTTCATTGAGTATTTTCTAGTTTCTTTTTCGCGTTCCTAAGAAAAGGCCATAAATGTTAGCTGAATGACGTTTTTATTGCTTCAATCAGCATTTGCATGATTCCCGCCAGAAAAAGTGAGATTTTAAAATGGTAAAAAATGCCTCAAACTTTCGCTGAGGCAGAGAGGTGGGGTTGCACTAAAAATATGTTTTTCTGGCATTGAAAAGAGCAATAAATGTCGTGCAACTTTATACGGTACGAATGATCTATTGTTGCTTTTTTGAGATTCTGCTTCTTGCAAGGCGCAATCATACATATAGCGGCAAACAAGTTTTCGAAAATCGCATGGGCGCAAAGCACTTCGAGAGATTATTGTCATTTCTGGATCATTGTGGATAGCTTTATAGTGACCTATTTCTGTGTTGTTGATAAGTGAGGCCCTTTCCTAATGGTGTTTAAAGAGCTTCAATGCTAATTTGCCTAATGACAAGGAATGAAAATGGCGCTCCTATTCTCTATCATGCCCATAATTACTACTATTTGCCCTTGCTATTAGTATAAGTAATTTATTTCTTTCAATTCCCTATATGGGCTTGTTATGTAATGTCCATTTTGCAGACATACTCTGGTATTTGGTAACTATATTTCATTTCCAAGCGTACCCTACTGACCATATGTGTGTTTACAGGTGTACCCGAGCGACATGCCAGTGCGTCTGTTCGCCGAACTGAGTCTCTCCGAGGTGTCTAACATTGAGGACGGCCAGACTCGGGCGGAGGTGGAGCGGGCGTTGGAGTTGGCCAGGGAGGCAGTCCTGCAGAGACAGGTGAGTCCCCTGGGTACCGAGTCGCGCTCAGACTCCGCCGGTGCTGCTGGAATTACCGTCCGGGCTGAGCTGTGGCGGCTCTGTGCCCGCCGGCAGAGTGCACCAACTGTCCAAGCCCGGCTGAGCTGTGCGGCTCAGTGTGTGCCACCGCCGGCGGCCTGTGGGGTCGATACCGGGCGTCCGGCGCGGACTGAGAGAACATACCTGCGGCGGGCGGCCGCGCAGACCAACACACAGAGAGAAATGGGAGAGGAGACCGGCACACAGAAACGGGGGAAGAGAGAGCAGACCGATACACACTCACAGAGAGACTGGGGAGGAGAGAGTGGACCGACACACAGAGGCAGGGAGGAGAGGAGAGAGGAGACCGATATGGAGAGAGGTGGGAAGGATAGAGGAGAGAGCGGACCAGCACACGGACGGGGAAGGAGAGAGAAGAGGATAGGACAGGAGACGAATGGACGGTGCCCTGAGTGCCGCCCGCCTCCGTCCATCTACGAGATGGGATTGAATGTCGCCCGTGGGATGAAGGTTCGGTGCAAAGGAGAGAGTAGAGAGGCAGGAGGCAGAGCAGCGTTCCTAATTACGGAAACGGGGCTATTGTGACAGTTTGAAAGAAAGACGGAGCGAGGTGTGCCATGTTATTTTGGCAGCCAAGGTTTCAATTAAATTGAATTATTTAGTCTGCGCTTTTTGCCAATAAGATTTGGCCAATATAGTCATAAGGGGCAACTTGAAACAGGAGAGTTGAGACCGAGGAGGCTTGTTAAGATGAGAGTCGGCATAAAAATGCGTGATGAGGCATTTTTGAGCTTCCTTTTGTACCACAGTATGGCTAAGTTTCTAGTTATGAAATTGAATAGGGCAAACTAAAGACCTAAACAAATGTTATCACAAGCTAAATTTATCCATTACGGACTACGATATAAGTGATTATAAGAAAGTTAGGACTACATTAGTTATTTAATGTACACGCTTATATAGACAAACTTTCTGGTCCATTATGCATTACGCACTATTATGATTGTTCAATTCTTCAATTATATTCTGGGTTGCCACTATCTTCAGCGAGGATGCCGCTACAACGATATAATAGTAATTGATAAATTACGTGTATACGTGCACTGAACGGAATGATCTAACTTCTTCCTAGTATTTGTGTATGATTTTGATGTTGCTGGGCATATCACTATCACCGCACAACCTCAGGTGCTGCATATCTATGTCAATGATCATACCATGGATGCAAATGTTTGCTATTTCCATGGCCCTCTGCGATTTTCATGAGTATCCCGTGATTTTCATGACCTTCTGCTGTCCCATTTTATTCATTTATGCGTTTTCCCTCGTGAGCTACGTCATACCTCTGATGCAACGTGCATCCAGTCCATGATCACAAATCACAATATACCCTCTCCCGATCTACAGATATGCCGATGTAGCCCCGGTCAGTCCTCTATGCCTCTGCGGCCCCGGTCAGTCCTCTGTGCCTCTGCGGCCACGGCTAGTCCCTGTTGCGTCGTCACACCACCTCCCGGGCCCACGGCGGCGGTCGGCGGATCGAACTCTGTCCCGTCCCGATCCGGTCTGGTCAGACGTCCGACGATCGAGCGGTGCGCACCGACCACCGGAACAGGCACTGATACGCAGGGCGGGCACCCATGGGCCATTCATCGGACTCAGGGGTGGGCGGAGGCGGCATAAGACTGCCATTGGACTCGGGTGCCGAGTGGTGGCTAGACGGCGCCATTGGATTCAGGGGACATACTGGGACGAGGGCAGGACCGTACCACTGGACCCAGGGGACGGACTGGGGCAAGGGCAGGGCTGTTCCATCGGCCCCAGGTGCAGGCGTTGTCAGGCACGACAGTGCCATTGACCCCGAATACATGAGCAAGTAAATGCGTATCAGGAACGGATTTTCCTATTTGCTCAGCAATGTGAGCCGTATGTAATACGCATCTACTCTGCTCATATATCCCCAGCCATTGACCCAGGGGGCGAGCGGGGGCGTTGTCAGGCACGACAGGGTCATTGGACCGAGCAGACGGCCGGGGACCAGATCATTCATTGTAGATAGGTCTTGAGGAGGGTGGCCGGGCTGGAATTGGATGTGGAATTCAGACGTGGCCGGCCGATGGAATTGGATTGAGCAGAACCGGCCACCACTTGTTGCAGATCCCGCTGATAGGCTGAGAGATATCCGCGGAAAGGCTATTTCGCCGCAGCGTATTGGCTGAAGAGTCTAACCCAGCAGCCATATGGAACAGACGATAACCGGCCGGCACCTGCTAAGATATATGTGGGCTGGACTGCGATCTCATTATGGAGTTAATTCATGCATCAGCATTGTGCACGTTCTAGGCTGTAAAACCTATGTCTTATTTTGAATGAACATTGATGCACACCGCGTCCGTGGCCAACACCGCGACACCGATGTCTCATAGTCAACCCGGGATACCTCTGCGTCTTCTCGCCAACCCTGACGCACCGGCGTCGCATTGAACCCCTACTGCCTTCGCCAGCCCCGAGTTCCTATTGAACCCCTGCTGCCGCGGCCGGCCACCGGCGTCACGCTAACGAGGCCGCCGTGTGTACCATTGAGGTGATTCCTGACGTCAGATAATTAGTCAACCAAGGTCTGACTTGCGACTACCCACCTGATCCGAATGGTGCAGCGCACACGGTACAGTCCATTGCTGGCTATCTTATCAATAGCGCATTGGTGGACGGCCGACGGTGTGCTTTGAGTTGCTCCGACGGTGGATGCTTTTGTGTAGTGTCAGTGCTCTGGAGGGTTATTAGACTACACAGGATGTGCTCTGTATAGCAGAGATGTGCAGACGTGCAGGACCTACTTTGCTCAGTTTCTGTGGCAGGCTAGTCGCCGGGGTGACGGTGATAAGGCTGGAAGGAGTTCTAGGCGGTGCGAGCGAGGCCATTCAACAGCCGCCTTTGCTATACGTCGGTCTGCTCTAAATAAGAGTCAGCAGCATCACTGCCATATGTCCGCCGGCTCTAAAGGTGTCAGTAATGTCACTGCTATTCGTCGGTCTACTCTTAAGCGTCAGCCATGCCACTGCTGTATGTTGGCCGGCTCCAAAGGTGCCAGTTCTGGCACTGCCATAATATGTCGTCCGGCTCTAAAAGTGTCGGCACTTTCTCATTATGTGGCCATCTCAGTGGCGAGCAGTAATGTCACTGCTATATGCCAGCCACTTCAGTGACGGGCAGTAATGTCTTTACTGTGCGTCGGCCACTTCAGTGACGGGCAGTAATGTCACTGCTTAATATCGCCTGGTCCCAAAGGCATCAGTAATATCTATCCACTGCGGTATGCCTGCTGCTCCAGAGACGAGCAGTAATCGCAGCGTTTTCTGATGGCAACATAACCTAGGCTGATGGCTAAATAACATAACCTAGGCTGATGGCTAAATGCCACGCGATATTGGCAACATTGTTACATTACATTGCAGTGCGTTTCTTTTTCGTTGCGTTAGAATTAAATCAAAAGGTACATACGTCCGTATGAAATATCAACGGACAGTTAGCGGCACCTTCTTTGCTGTAAAGGTCATCATGTAAATGGTTAATGCGCCCTAGGTAAAGTGTTTATCTTAATTTATGCTTTAATGGCTTCAGCAGCCAGCGCTTGAATGACGTTTTGGCTCGTGCGCTTGAGCGTCTTGAGTGATGTCTCAATTTGGTTGATTTGAACAGCCGTTTTTCTCCTTTGATATTTGCAGAGTGATAGGGCTATCGTATACATATGTGGTTATTCCTTCAGTTTGTTTGCTATATGATGTGGTGAACTTATTTAACCGGCTCTGATGAGCTCTGTAAGGGAAGCTGGAATATTCGTCCGGTACCTATTGTGATTGGCGTTCACTGCCGACGCTAATGCCGCTCCAGCGAACCTCCGACAGCCATAGTCAAATCAACGATTTCAACGATTTCCTGGTCTAGTCCCGGATCTGGGACCGGCAGCCAAATAGACTGACAGGCAAATCTGTAACCAGCGGACAGATGAACTGCTGGTATACTATGGGACCAGTGGCCAGCAGGACTGCTTGTATTATGTAGGGCTGATGGTCTTAGACTGATAGCAAAATATGTGACCAGCGGCCAACAAATTGATAAAGATGTATTGAACCAGAGGGCTTACTGAACTGGAAAGTGAAACATTACCTGGCAGTGTGGTCAACTCCTGCGGCCGAATAGAATGACGATATGGTTGAGACCGTTGGCCAGTAGCATAACTTATATGTCTCTCTTGCCATAATCGCTAGTCCCACCGCCTTCGACAGGTCATATCCAACATCTTGCCGGTTTTAACCGGCTTGCACGCCGCGTGACACGCATGTGTTCACGCACAGAGAAGCTTACCTTTATCAGCATGGCATTACCGTCGACGGTTCGGTGATGAACCGAACGAACTGTGCCCCAGGTGCGGCACTGATATTGCCTAGACACCTCCCAATCCCACGAGCGTGCAGTGGTTGGCACGCACAGAGTGCTCGAATTAATGGGCTCAGCGGATTATCCAATATGACACGTGTTGTGTGACGTCTTATTTGCACCTGCACTTACACATTTTTCATACAAAGTGCATTTGTTTCATTTGCATATGGGTACCCGTCAAAATTCGTGGAGATTTGGGTCGATATTTGTCCCACAACTGATTTCCTAGAAATCATTACCTTTTCATAAACCATGCACCCTAGGCTGTTCACAGTTGAAATTATTCAAAAATGCCATTGCGCATGCGCGTAAAATGGTCCGTGACCCAGAAAAAAATAAAATTTTCTTCTGGGTCACGCATTATCAAACCAGATACGTTCACTCACCTCATGCGTGATATAACCCCCTTATCGGCAATGACCTTCTCCACACATAGGCGGAAAGACTTGCATGTCTTGATGATGTAGGTGGGCAGAATTTCTCTTCTGCAAGTAAATCTGCAAGTTCGTATGCGTGCACATACGAACTTCAACACTTCA